TCTTGGAGGTGGGGGAGGGGTGTCTCCACTTTAATGTTCTCCAAGGATCCAGAGTCATATACCAACTTTGAGAGAGATGGACACCCACGACACACAGGTACACTTTGCGAACTCTGCGGATGTGTTCCTGCAGAATTAGTTGCAAAAATCCGTGGCACTTCAGTTCTCTGGGAACCAGAAAAGGGTATTTTCCTACCGTGGGCATCCGTCTCCCAAGGACACATAAATCCGAGAATATAGTATTTTTCCTTCTTACTCTCACCCAGTAACCACCTTCCACCCCTCCCACAGTCCTTAAAGCCGGCCAGTCGTTTCTTTCTCTCTGTCGCTTTAAGAGCGCGGGCGGAGTCCTGCCCGCTTTGGAAATGGCGGCCCACGCGTCACACGCTCTGTGACGGTGCTGGAACGCAGCTCGGGGACTTTCGCGGCGCAATATGGGGACTTGGCCCCGGGCGAGACCGAGCCTCCCAGCGTGCTTTGCAGCCCGGCCGGGAGGCCCGGCGCCTGGTGATGGGGAGCCCCCGGAGCTCTCGGCCGCCTGATCTCTCGTAGAGGTGGCGGTGGCGCCCGGACGGCCACCGAGGGGGAGGATGGAAGCCTGGCGCTGTGTGAGGAGGGGCTACGGCCGCTGTGTAGTGGGGAGAGGCCGGTCAGTAGGTCCGGGGGGCGGGAGGGCGGAGGGAGGGGCGGCGGGGGACGGGGCGGGGCGGGGAGGAAGGAGGAGGAAGAGGGTCGGGCCGGTGGTGCTGCCGGGACGAGCCTCCGGAGACCCCGAGGATAGGTAAACCCGGCCTGGGCACGTCGCCGCCGGCCGGGCTGGTGCGCTCCCGACCCGGCTGGGCCTCGGAGCCCCGGCCTACTTCCACCGGCCCAGCCGCCGAGCCAGCCGAGCCTCTCTGGTCCCGGCCTCCCCCGCAGGCCCCGCAGCCCCTTCCGGGAGCTGACGGTCCCCGCAGAGGCCACCTGTCACGACAGGTCCCGCGGCGACCTGACCTAGGGAGGCGCACGCGCGCGGTTTTTGTTTGCTGGTGTGTGTCTCTCACACATGAGTCACTTGTACACCAACCTTTACTAAGATCACTATCGAATTCCATATTTGATTTAAGTTCACACCTGTATTGTTTACTGGCTGTTTTCCTCGAAATTAACTCACTGTAAAAAGCACTTCGATAAGTGCTGCCTACATTAGCGTAGCCCTAAGCAGTTATCTGGGAAATCTTGGCTTTGATGTACTGATGGTGGTGGTTGTTTCTTAATATACTTTAAAATAAATACGTCGATATTAAAAATCAAAAGGTTCACTTGTGTACCGTCTGAAACCGACTGGTGTACCACACGTGGGAAGCACGACTGGGTATTAATGATAACATCAGTTGTGGGCATTGGGTTTTAACTCCTATAGTTCTGGGACTTCACAATTCAGTTCAACGATGTTTTCTTGAGTACCAGCTGTGTGCCAGGCACTGTGCTAGGCGCTTGGGAAGAGACTGGGATTAAAATGATTAAGAAAGTTCTGGCTTTGAAGGAGCTCATAGTTTTAAGAAGAAAAGAATCGTCCTGGCCGGTTTGGCTCAGCGATTGGAGCATCAGCCTGCGGATCAGGCAGTCTTGGGTTCGGTTCCCGCTAGGGGCACGTACCAAAAAAAAAAAAAAATAGAAGAAAAGAATCTATATCAGGGTGGGGCAAACGTAAGTTTACAGTTGTGAGTACACAAAACACACTTTATTCTTGTATTATTATGTATTAACTATTGTATTACTGTCCATATGAACAACTGTAAACCTCTTGGTTTTCAGTGTTTTCACAAAACAGGATAGTCTGCCCATGTCATGCCTTTAAAGATTTACAACTCAATTGAATTTACAGAATTTGAAAATACATAAACTACAAAAATATATAATAAAAAAATTTAATGTTAAAATGAAAAGAACATAACATATAAAAGTCAAATAACAGAAAATACACTTTAAGCAAAATTCCTTTGGTAATAGAAGTGGACATCACCTTGGAAATGTACCTTTAATGAATTCTAGAGGAAAGGATTAAAGGCCTCAATCCTAATATTTTGCCAGAATAGTAAGGTAAGATGGTGCCCAATAGAACCAGAGAGCAACATATCTGTTCAACATAATGGTAACACTACTTTGGAGATATTTTGGATGATAGGTTAAATTGGTACTATTGCATTGGAGTGTTGGTGAATTCCTAATAAGTAATCCCTATCCTCTGTCATTTCCCTCAAGGAAAAACATACTTAAAAAAAAAAAAAAGATGGAAAAACAAAGTATCCACCTACTGATTAGCAAGAGAGGTAGTTTTCTGAAGTTGTGATAGAGTTGTTTTCTTAGCTATACAAATGTTTGGAAAATACAACCTTGGTATAAAAACTGTTGAGAAACGTGTTTTTGCTCCAAACCACATTGGAAGAGAGATTCGCTTTCATTGTAGTCAGCTTATGTATTCCATATTTGATTTAAGTATTATGTTTGTGGGTTTTATTTATCCATTGAGTTTTCTTGGAGGCTAGAAAGCTCATCTGAATACCAGTTTGATGGCTGATTTATCTCGCAGTTGAACTGTGGACTTTTCGAAGTGTATGTGGTGTTTTGGGAACCTGGTAGATGCTATGTTAAGTGTTTAGAATACCATTCATGGTTGTTTAGGGAGAGTATTGAGATACTGCTCTAACAGTTAAATCATGGCTGCTTTTCCCACATTCTTCACAGATTTAGATGTCAGATTTTAAATATGAGACTCCTGTCTTCCCTTGAGGAAACAGATTTGGATTTTGTGTGCTATAGCTGAACCTAAAGTGGTGCCTCAAGGAGTGTATTTATTTCTTTTAGATACCCCATGTTACCCCATCACCAGAGGAGTCTGGGCAGAGACTGGACTACACCGTGGGAGAATCTGCAAAGGTGTTGCTGGAACAGACATATTTCTAGTTGTATGAGGTGGCCTGGACATTATTCTCGTGCTCCTTACCCCTACTTCAGTAGTAGGCATTTTTCATTAAATTGGAGACCACCTTGTTTATTTGAGTCTAGAACTCAGTTTCAGTACTGGAATTGGAGACCTGACAACCTGAGCCAGACATCTTTGATTCACCTCTCTAGTTACATCATGAACTCTGAGGGAGATGAGCCTTCATCAAAACGAAGAAAACACCAAGGTAAAGGTGACACTTAATCTTGGTGCAGGAATAGACATGAGCCATAGACTAACTGAAACTTTCCTATCTAATCTTCAAGAAAACCTCCTGTAGGTTTTAGAAGTGTTTGGTGTTTATTTTCAGCCACTAGGTTTCTGTGAGGAAAAGGGAAATTCTTTTTTTAAATGAAGTTTTTATTCTTATCTTTAATTAATTGTGTATTTCTGGCAGTAAAAATAGAAGTGACTCTACATATAGAATAGGTGGGAAAGAATGGAGGACTAGATTAAAACATTAAGTTTAATTTAGAATAATTTTTTATTGTTGTTAATCCTAAACTGAGGATATTTTTCCATTGATTTTTAGATAGAGTGGAAAGCAGGGAGGGGGTGGAGAAAGAGAGAGAAACATCACTGTGCCACGTCGATGGGCTGCCTCCTACATGACCCCAACAGGGGCCAGGGATCGAACTTGCAACCCTGGTACATGCCCTTGACCAGGAATCAAACCCGAAATCCTTCGGTCCTTGGGCAGATGCTCTAACCATTGAGCAAACCCAGCAGGGCAAGAATAAGTTTTAAATCTAGCATTTTTGAAACAAAGGTTCTAGATTTCTTAGAAATTGGTAGATATATTCTTTGAAGTCCACAGATCTGTAAAACTAAATTTTGGGTTTTCATTTTTAAGCCGACTTTTTTAAATGATAACTTTTAAAAATAAGACAAAAGGATTTTCTTAACTAGAAACAATCAAATGAAAGGTATTTTCTCACAGAATAGGATTTTACCTTATTATATCAGTATTTCACATAGATATAATCTTGAGAGTGTTGAAATTTTTGTTTTTTAAAACATCTTATTCAACTTCAAGAAACAGTGTTTTTCTAAATATGTTGATTATTCCTATTTTTCTCATATTCTTTTTACTTTATACAATTGATGAGACTCCCTCTGTGCTACCAGTCCTGCCCCCCCCCCCCCCCCCCAGTACATAAGTAGAATTTGGAATTGTCTTCCTGAGCTATGGATTTCAGTGAAGATAATGCCTCTGTAGATAATTGAAAGTAGACTGTGTAGATGTTAATGTGTAGGGAGCAGGCATAAATTTGTCAAAGGAAGACATTCACAGTGTTACCTGGAAGTCAGACTAGAAGATTAGTTAGTGCTCTTTTTTTTTCCTTTATTGATTCTAGAGAGAGAGGAAGTGACAGGGAGAGAGAGATAGAAACATCAATGAGAGCCCTGGCCAGTTTGGCTCAGCAGTTAGAGTGTCGGCCTGCGGTCCCGAGAGACCTGGGTTCGGTTTCCGCTAAGGGCATGTACCTCAGTTGCAGTTTGTCCCTGGCCCTGGTTGGGTCATGCAGGTGACAGCCCTCGATGTGTCCCTTTCACGTCGATGTTTCTCTCTTCCTCTCTTTCCCTCCCACTCTATCTGAACAAAAAAAATGGAAAAACGTCCTCGGGTGAGGATAAAAAAAAAAAAAGAAACATCAATGAGAGAGAACATCAATTGGCCACTTCCTGCATGCCCCCCACTGGGGATCAGGCCCACAACCTGGGCATGTGTCCTGACCGGGAATCGAACTGGTGACCTCTTGGTGCATGGATCGACGCTCAACCGCTGAGCCACACGGCCGGACTACTTAGTGCTCTTTTAAGGAGAATTTCTACTTCACATTTAAGTAATTCTAAGTACGCAATAGTGAATACCTATTTGAATAGTATTTAACCACAGCTTGTGTTTATAAACATACTTGTTTGAATGAACGAAAGGTTTATTTAGAGACATTAAAATTAAGTTCCTAAGAACAATTCGTAATCTATAAATCTAAGGCTGTATGATATGAGATCGCTTTTCGTTGATGTATTCATTGTCCGTCAGGTCAACACACTTCTCTTTTGTGTATCTGGTAGCTGTCAGGTGGAGCTGTGCCGTAGTGACATAAGCATGGGCTTAGGAACCACTCCTTGCTGTCATTCTGCTCCACCACGAATTGTATGAACTTGGACAGATTACTGAATCTCTCTGCTCCTTGGTTTTCTGGTGTAAAATAATGCTTACTTTCAAAGCCTGTTGACAATGAAATGAGATGTCAAAGTGCCCAGCACACTGTTGGCTTCATAGTAGGTACTCAAAAAATTGTGGTGGTGTTCTTTTCCCTTTAATAGATGGGGAATTACATTTACACACTGATAAACTTGGATTGCAACCTGACTCTTTATATGTCCATTCTTCCTAGGTATTGTGAATAACGAACATGCTCTTCGTTAAGCCATATTTGTGACTTCCGATATTTCACTAATACTTTTCAATCAAGAAAACAGCATTGCTAACTTGCCTATCACTTTAAAGTGGTATTTGAAGGATTTGTGTGACACAATTATGACTTTTTAATTAGGCACCCTAAAAACCCGATCAGGCCTATTGCTTACTTTCTTTGATTCATCTGTCTTCTCTGCTGTGATCACCTTGTTCCTCCTGACATGGAAGGTATATAAGCTTTTGTGGTATGAATTTATGTTGTGAAGTATATGAAGGCCAAAGACTATTCACTCCATCAGTAATTTTCAAATTGTCTTCCATGGAACTTTAGTATTTGAACACATTTCTGTATGTTTATTCAAAGCAATTGTGATCAGGATAAATGTATTTACCCCATCATTCCAGCTCATTGCCAGCGTACCAGAGATTGATGTTCCTGACATGAAAAGTAATGATGAAGGGTTGTTCAAGCTTTAGAGGTTGAAAGCCACTGTACTGGTGGAATTTTAGGTATTACGATCCAGTAAAATGAAAGCCTTCATGCAGGAAAAGGGAGAGATTCTAGGGCTGAGATTTTTTTTCATATTATTGAATCATGCTTGGGAGTCCATCTCCTACTCTATTTCTCCAAGGTCTTCCCATTTCTTGTTTCCTCCTTCATTTTTGTTCATAGATTCTCTAAAAGTCCCACATGTTTCTTCATGGTTCCATGGCCGTTACAGTATACCCTTTAATGGTGGGTGAGGGAGACAAGACCCAAGGTCAAAACTGTATATATGGTGGCCATTTCTAAATTGAGGACTGCCTGTGATTGCAAAATCTCATGCTTTTTGATTCTCTTTTCATCACTTTTTCAGGGTACATGATGTCTTTGAGAATATAAACCATCACACATTCCTGGTTGCTGCATGCTAGGTTCGTCAACTAGCCATCATTTACCAACACTCTCTAACTATGTTACGTTTAACTTTTGTTTTGGTGCGCATTAAAAAGATTTCTTTTGTTCATTTTGTTCACATCTTTCCACTTTGGTGTTTTAGACGCTAAGTACTGCTTCTGTATATTGTCATTATATACCCTTCATTCATTTCTAAAGCAGAATTCTGGGAAGAGTTCTTTTTGGAAATTAGTTAATCAATGGATGATTTTATCTTACTAATAGAGAATAAAATATTTGAAATTATCCTATTGGAAAGCCAGCTGTGACATACAAATATATTATTATGGTTACAAAGTTGCTAAACTACTTAACTATAAAGATGGGAGAAACCACAACCCCCGTATAGTCTTAGTTTTATTAACACACACTCTTAGCCTCCAGAATGACTTGATAGATCCTTTTAAACCTGTTGTATACCCCTTGTTCAGTCAGTATTTCATTTTACAGCCTTTTAATCAATTTGGTGACAACTTCTGGTTATTCAATGCTACATTGCCATTTCCTAGGGGGAAACATTGTGTTCATTGCCTATGGAAATTTTTAAAAGGCAAGAAAATACTTATATACAGGAAAAAATATGGTCTGTTTGTTAAATTAATTCTTTATATTTTGTCCAATATGTTTTAACAGGCACCATAGAACGGCATTGGGAATATATATGTAACCATAATAAAGAAAAAACGAAGATCCTAGGAGACAAAAATGTTGACCCCATATGTGAAGACAGTGAGAACGAGTTTGACTTTTCAGTGATGTCCTATAATATACTTTCACAAAATTTATTGGAAGATAATTCACACCTCTATAGACACTGCCGGCGGCCAGTATTACACTGGAGTTTTAGGTTTCCCAATATTCTGAAAGAAATTAAAAACTTTGATGCAGATGTAAGTGCAAAATATAAAAATTCCTCACACAAGAAAAAGTTTGGTTAAATGGTTCATTTGTGAACTAAATGGTTTTGTCCCTTTTGTTTGGTAAGACGGGAAGATGTTTAAATATAGTGATGTAACAGTTTTTAACAAGGTATCACGACTTCCAGAGAGTCATTTGCTAATTGTTGTTGGTATAAATAATCATCTAACTCTTCAAAAAAGATCCAAAAGGATGTGAGGGTGATCTGGCTGCAACATGTCACCCCATTGATCGTCAGCATTGATTCAGCAGATCTGGCTGGCTAGGCGGGTGTCCCCCTCCTCCCTCACCGATCCATGTGTGTCCCTCCTGAAGCTGTGCGCTTGGTCAAAGAGGACAGCCGTCTTCGGTCAGGGGTATACCAGTAGCTGCGCTCCCCTGCTAGAACCTCCAAACAAGCTCTCATGGTCCATGTGTCGGAGAATGTAGGGTGGTCAAGCTTCCAAGACTCCAGACACATCCAAACGAGGTGCTGCACATGGCAGTCTGCCTGTCTTTAAAAAAAAAAAAAGATCCAAAAATCTTAAGTATTGGTCAGTTCCAGGATAGGGACTAGCAATATATTAAGCATTCAGTAATTATTTTCTTTGATTTTAAATTTAAATAATTCATGATAAATTAATCTAGAAAATGACATTTAAAAAATCACCTCTTAAGAAAGGACAAGAAGGATTTAATAAATATGTAAATTCAGGGGAATTTAAATATTTTTTATATGTAAATTAAAAATATTTTCTTTGGGAAATACCAATTTTTGATAGTAAGAAAGCTTCATGTAATTAAAGGCCTGGGTTTGGGGGACTGATCACATTTGGAAACATTAAATCTGTAAATTATAAGAAAAAAGGACTTCTTTTTCAACTTTCATCAAGCTGTTAAAATTTAGAAGCCTGTGTTTAGAGATGGAAACATCAGAAAACTCATATTTATATCTCTGTTCTAATTCAAAGCCTTTTTTTCTTCCAAGGTACTTTGTTTACAAGAAGTTCAAGAAGATCATTATGGAACAGAGATCAGGCCAAGTTTGGAATCATTGGGTACAATGTAACTTTTATTTTAGCTAAATTTACTTTGGAAGATTGGTGTGTCGTTAAAACATAACTTGCTAACAAAGAAATGTGGTGTATTTAGGCCCAAAATCTTAATTTTGAAAAATTTAATACCTGTTTCAAAAGGTCAGGAAAAGATTGAGGTATTTCAAATGGAAACTTTTGTATTGATATATAATTTTAATTCAAAGGGAAAGGTGTGTAAGAATCTTTTAATAGCTTCCTTTGCAGCAGTTGCGTTGCCCATCACTAGACCTCTAAGATTCTGAGCTGCATGAGATCAGGGACCACTCCGTCTAGGTCATCATCGTAATGCAAGTGTTTACCACTGCCTAATGGATAAAAACTAAAAACCTCTTTGATGAGTGAACACTTCTAGGAACAGGTTATCTGTTTGAGAAATGCTATGTACGTTGAATTTATTCATTCACGAAATATTTTTGAGTGCCTACTACACACCATGCAGTGTTCTAAGCAGTGGGAATACAGCAGTGAGCAGAACAGATAACAAGTCTCTGCCCTTGCGGAGTGTACGTTCTAGTGGAGAAAGGCCGACAATAAACCACATAATGTGTACATCATTAATTAAGTAGCGATAGTGTTCTGGAGAAAAGTAGGAAAGTAGAATGGATCAGGTTTCAATTTGTAAACAAATGATCAGAGCAAGTGACATTTGAGCAAAAACTTGAATGCGAATGAACAAGCCATTTCTAGAGCATTCCAGACTGTGGAAATAGCAAAGGAAAGGCCCTGTGGTTGGAGTGCCTTAAGGCAGATAAGCAGGCTAGTGTGTGTGGAGTGGAGCAAGGAGGGAAGAGTTAGAGGCAAAAAGATCAGAGGTGCATGGTGGGTAGATTATTGTAAGGCCCTGCTGTCTTTGTCATGACTGACTTTTACTAAGGTGCAAATGAGAGCGTGATAATGCACATTAGCGTGTTTAAGACTGAAGTCTGCCAGTAAAGAAACCTATTAGATCCATCTCCAAACTTTTTTGATTCCAACACTCATTAGCATCCTACATTGCTAATGTTTTGTGAAATATACTTTGATAAAAACATTGTTCAAAAATATTAGCTGTGTTTTGCCGTGTGTGTGTGTGTGTGTGTGTATAAAACAGTCCCTTGTTTTCCATTTCTTTTTTTTAGGTTATCACTGTGAATACAAGATTCGGACAGGAAAGAAACCGGATGGTTGTGCCATTTGCTTCAAACATTCCAAATTTTCACTCTTATCAGTGAACCCAGTGGAATTCTACCGCCCTGATGTTCCTCTGTTGGACAGAGACAATGTTGGATTAGTGTTACTCTTGCAGCCCAAAATTCCAAGTGGTACCTCTCCTGCAATCTGTGTAGCTAACACACATCTGTTGTATAACCCAAGGCGAGGTGATATTAAACTGACCCAATTGGCAATGCTTCTGGCAGAGATTTCCAGTGTTGCCCATCAGAAAGATGGCAGCTTCTGCCCTATCGTTATGTGTGGGGACTTTAATTCTGTTCCTGGTTCTCCGCTCTATAGTTTCATAAAGGAGGGAAAATTGAATTACGAAGGACTTGCCATAGGAAGGGTGAGTACTCGCTTCATCATTATTAAGAGGTAGACTCAGTCCATGGTTCACTGTAACCTGAGGATAGTCATCACAGGGCTGTTTGAAACCTTCAGTGATCCAGCACCCGCACTTTACCAAGCTGCATTGACTTTCCACAACTGCTGATAAGTAATTATATACACTTGATTAAATTTCATCTTTTCCATCTATTTGTGGCAACGTTCTCCTTGGAGGAATTGGCAGGCTGCAAAAAATCCAAAATGGCAGAGAAGAAGAAAAAAGATAACATTGACAGACATGAACACTTCATAAACAAGAAACTACTCACAAGGTGGCACAATAGAATTTTGAATGCTGAGTGTGTGAGCAATACAGTTAGCAAAACAGTAATTTAATATTCATTATATAATTTTCCTTTACATAATGATATATATATATATATATATATATATATGTATGTATTTGGGTTAATCCTCCCTGGAGGATATTTTTTCCATTGATTTTTAGAGAGAGTGAAAGAGAGGGAAGAGGGGAGAGGCAGGTAAAGAGAATGAGAGAAACATTGATGTGAGAGAGACACATTGATTGGTTGCCTCCCTCACATGCCCCAACCAGAGCCAGGGATCGAACCTGCAACCCAGGTACCTGCCTTTGACCAGAATCAAACCCATGACCCTCCAATGTGTAGACTGACACTCTAAACACTGAGCCATGCCGGACAGGGCAATGATAAATATTTTAATTCCTTAGTTGAATATAATCAATCTTGTTTTTATTTTTATTGTGCTCTCTTCTGCTTACTTTTGACCATTTGATCTTCAGAATATTTAACAAAATAAGTTTTTCACTGCTGACTTTTGAGTGATAGTTTAAAATTTTATAAGAGCTTGTCTCTCTCAGTATTTTCTATAATAGGAACTGTATTGTGGGTAGCAAAAAGGGAGGGGCAGTATTAGTCCAAAACTATAGATCATTTAGATGGCCAAATTAGAGAAAAACAAGGATTCGAAAGAATTGCCATTTCCATGTAAATAATAAGTGCTTTCTGAACTGTATTTGAACAAGATCTTATAAGCACAAATAACCAATATAATGAATAAAAAGTAATATTTACCATTCTTAGATTTCCTTTCATTTAACACATAAACTTTTCAATACATAAACTATTATAAATCTACTCACTTAAGAAACCTGTTGAAATTGTGTTTAGGTATCTGGCCAGGAACAGTCTTCACGGGGACAAAGAATTTTATCTATTCCAATTTGGCCCCCAAACCTAGGTATCTCACAGAACTGTGTGTATGAGGTACAGCAGGTACCAAAAGTCGAAAATACAGGTAAGTGTTTGCAATACATTTTGGCAGTTTCATAATACTTTCCCTTTGAATATAATTTTTTAAAGAGATACCATCTCAAGAATAAATATTCATATATAAAACATGCTTACTCCATTTTTTAAAGAGCTCTAAATTTACCTTTTTAAAGTTGTACTTTGAGCATTATCTTTGCATGAATTACTTGCACATTACTTTGGAAATGTTTGCATTTTATATTTGCCAATTTTGGAAATCATAAAAATATATAGGATGAACATTTAACTAGGCATCTATCTACACCAGATATATCTTAAATCTTGTTCCTAGAGTAAAGGGACTATACTAAGGCATACTAGAACAAAACAATGTATTGATAGTATTAAAATATGTATTTTTCTTTGTTCTTACAGACAGTGATCTGACACAAACACACCTGGATAAAACAGAAGTCCTAGCGACAGCTGAAAAGTGAGTTTTAGAAAGCAGCAGTGGACATTAGCTGACTTTAGTCGAGTAAAAAAATCATTTCTCAAAAGTGATCTTTTAAAAAGTTAAAAAATGAAGATGATATTCTGTGCTGGTGAAGAATGTTGGCTCTTAAGTGAAATAGACCCAAGTACCAGTCATGACTTTGCTGCTTTTTAGCTGTGTGATTTTGAACAAGAATCTTAACATCTCATGTCGTTTCCTTATATGTAATTTGGGTTGTGAGGATTACATGAGACAAAGCATGTAAAGCTTGATGATAGAGCAAATACTTAAGTAGTGTTAATTAAAGGAAACAGCTTGTTCATGGATCTGGTACTATAAAATTTATTGCTATTACAGAGGTCAAGATTGCAGAAGAATATCTTTGAGATTTCAGGAAGATTCTTAGCCTCCTTTGACTTACTAAATCTCAAAACAATCTATAGGAGAATTGATCTGAAAAAGAATATGTCAGTAGGAAAGATAATTATTTATACTTATCTCTTAAACTACAGGAAAAGGTCATCAGAGTAGAAGGGTGAAGATGCCTAGAATCCTATTTATTAAAGAAGCATGAATTTGGGGGGCTATGGTTGAGAAACACATATATATTTTAATATAACAGATGGAGATTTAAATCTTGTCTTTTGGGGATTTTCTTAATATCTTCATTGTTTTATATTGTGACTCTTTAATAGTTTAGATTTTGTTTTAACATATAAATTTAGGGACCCAATTACAATCACCTCTTATTTTGTTTTCTTCTTTGTCTTATTTTGTATACCTTATATTGAGAAAATATCTCATGTATGAGAATCTCGTTAAGAAAGGAAAAAAATTTTTAAGAATATTTTTAAATTTATGATTAAGCCATTCAAATATAGTCAAAACCCCTGAATATGGTTACTAGAAAGCTAATTTTGCTGATAAATACTTAGTTTTGAATAATTTTAAAATCTTTTTAAACAAAATGGGGTATAAGAAAGGTACTTTTAAGTATCTACATATAAATACATGTTTATACACAGCTTATATGTGTAAAACTGAAAAGTTGATAGTAAGATAAAAGTTTGCAAAAAAATAAGGTGCCTCTGACATCAACAGTCTGCCGGATGTATTGCAAATGGCATTCCTAAAAGGCATTTGATTTTCTTTCTTAAAAGCAAAACAAAACAAAAAAAAACATATACAAGCATACCTCAGAAATATTGCAGGTTTGATTCCAGACCACCACAGTAATGTGAATACCTTAGTGAAACAAGTAACACAAATTTTTTGTGGCTTCCCAGTGCATATAAAATTATTTACAATATACTGTAGTCTATTAAGTGTCCAGTAGCATTATATATAAAAAATTTACATACCTTAATTTAAAAACATTATATTGTTAAAAAATGCTAACCATCATCTGAGCCTTCTGAGAGTCGTAATCTTTTTGTGGTGGAGGGTCTTGCCTCGCCCTGACTAATGCCTGCTGACTGATCAGGATGGGGGCTGCTGAATGTTGGGGTGGCTGTGGCAGTTTCTTAAAATAAGACAGTAAAGAAGTTTGCCACATCGATGGACTCTTCCTTTTATGAACAATTTCTCTGTATCATGTGATGCTATTTGATAGCATTTTACCCACAGTAGAATTTCTTTCAATATTGCAGTCAGTCCTCTCAAACCCTGTTGCTGCTTAATCAGCTAAGTCGATGTAGTATTCTAAGTCCTTCGTTGTCAGCTCAGCAGTCTCCACAGCATCTTCACCAGGACTAGACTCCATCTCAAGGAACCATTTTTCTTGCCCATCCAAGCAGCAACTTCTCATCCATTCAGGTTTGATCATGAAACTGCAGCAATTCAGTCACATCTTGAGGCTCCACCCCTAATTCTAGTTCTCTTGCTATTTCTATCACATCTGCAATTGCTTTTTTCACTGAAACCTTGAATCCCTCAAAGTCATCCATGAGGGTTGGAATCAACTTCTTCTAAATTGCTGATATTTTTACCTCTTGCCTTGAATCATTAATGTTCTTAATGGCATCTAGGATAGTGAATCCTTTCCAGAGGTTTTCAGTTACTTTGCTCAGATCCATCAGAGGATTAAATCACTGTCTTTGACAGCTGTAGCCATCTGAAATACAGGTCTTACTAAGACTTGTTACTCCTTGGTCCATGGTCTGCTGAATGGATGTTGGGTTAGCAGGCGTGAAAACAGCATTCATTTCATTGTAAATCTTCATTAGAGCTTGTGTGGGTGACCAGATGCATTGTCAGTTAGCAGCAATATTTTGAAAGGAGTCTTTTTTTGCTGAGCAGGTCTCAATAGTTGGTTTAAAATATTCAGTGAACTATGTTGTAAACAGATGTGCTGTTTTGTTTTCTTGTCATTCATGTGTTCACTTTTAATTTTCTTCAAGACCTTTTCCTTTGCATTCACAACTTGGCTGCTGGTGCAGCAGGCCTTGCTTTCTGCCTGTCTTGGCTTTCAACATGACTTCACTCAGCTTAGTAATTTCTAGCTCTTGATTTAAGGTGAGAGCCATGCAGCTCTTCCTTTCACCTGAACATTTAGGAGGCATTGTGGGGTTTTTCATTGCTCTGATTTCAGTGTTGTGACTCAAGGAACAGGAAGGCCCAGAAGATAGGGAAAGAGTTGGAGAATGGATGGTCAGTGGAACAGTCAGATCACACAACATTTATCAAGTTCCCCATCTTATATGGGTGCGGTTTGTGGCTCCCCAAAACAATTACAATAGTAACATCAAAGATCACTGATCACAGATCACCATAACAAACATAATAATAATGGAAGAGTTTGAAATATTACAAAAATTATCAAAATGTGACTTAGAGCTCAGCCAGTGTGGCTCAGAGGTTGAGCGTCAACCCATGCATCAAGAGGTCGCAGGTTTGATTCCCTGTCAGGGCACATGCCCAGACGGTGGGCCTCATCCCCAGTGGGGGGCATACAGGAGACAGCCAGTTGATGTTCTCTCTCCCTCTCCTTTGCTCTCTCTCTAAAATCAATAAAATATATATTTTTAAAAATGTGACCTAGAGACACAAAGTAAGCAAATGCTGTTGGAAAATGGCACTGACAGGCATAAAGGGTTGCCACAAACCTATAATTTGTAAAAAATGCAACATCTGCAAAGCAGAATGGTGAAACGCAGTAAAATGAGGTATGCCACCGTGGCCAGTTTGGCTCAGTGGTTAGACTAGCGTCAGCCCTCGGACCAAAGGGTTACAGGTTTGATTACTGGTCAAGGGCATGTACCTGGGTTGCAGATTCAATCCCAGGCCCCAGTCGGGGTCATGCGGGAGGCAACCAATTGATGTGTCTCTCTCACATCAGTGTTTCTCTCTCCCTTCCTCCCACTTTTTCACTCTAAAAAAATCATGGAAAAATAAAATATTCTTGGGTGAGAATTAACAACAACAAAAAATGTGGTGAGAATTAACAACAACAAAAAATGTGGTATGCCTGTACATTGTTTTAGAATGTGTTTATTAGTAAGTAAAGGTTCTAGAATATAATTAACAAATCACATGAATATATTCATTATTGAGCTTCCTCCCCCAACCCACCCATGTTTTACAGCTTTGTTAATGGGTTTTGGATATCACTGCATGAATGCCAAATTATAATATGTCTGTTTAAGTAAAGTTTGTCCTAATGTCTAGCTGTGTCTGGAAATTAAATGCAAAAGTGCTTTAATAGGAATTATACGTAATTAAAAACTTGATGGATGCTAAACATTTTTTTCTTTTCAATTTAGGTTATCTTCACATTTGCAGCACCATTTCAGCTTGTCATCTGTTTATTCACATTATTTTCCTGACACTGGAATTCCAGAAGTGACCACCTGTCATTCCCGAAGTGCCATCACCGTGGATTATATTTTCTATTCTTCAGAAAAGGAAGATGTTGCTGGGCAGCCAGGTAAAGAAAGCATGTAATCTTAACTTCTCCTTGAGAACAGAGTAGCTAAAACCTCAAGGCTGAGGTTGACAAAGTTAGCTGAACATTGGATGAAGTTCTAGATTTAGAAGTTAAACATATTTTTTTAATTGGTGATATATTTGACATATTGGTAATGTATTAGAATAAATCAGTTACTCACCTGCAAAAGATGGAGGCAGTGAAACACCTAAAGGAAATTAATTGTTACCAGGAATCCTGTCCTCAGCTCTGCCCTCCAGTCCAGCCACCTGCATTCTAGGCCTTTCATATTGCCCTTTGGTTTACTTGCCATAAATTTATGTTTCTTGTGCCAGCAACATCATATCGCTGTACTTAAATTTTGCTGCAGCACACTGCCCTCATTGTAGGACCTTGCTTAAACTTCCTACAATGGACAGTTTTGTCATGTTGACCTTGGAATATTGGATTTTGCTGGAAAGAGAGGTCTGCGACTGTGTTTTCAAAAAGCAAAGGTGATAAAACATTTTTCCTTGTATGATTCAATGAGAATAAGGCGTTATTAACCAAAGGATTTAACGTGGAGAAGACCATGCAGTTTCATCTAAGTGGAAGCCAAAAAATACCGTTTAGAAAACTGAAAGTCCATAATGTGGGCCACTGTTGTCCATTCTGATTTCCCCTTTTTTCTCTTCCATTTTTTGTGTGCTACTTTTATTTCCCCCTTTTCCCTTTGTTTGTTTTTTCTTCCTACTGAGGATAGCCTGATTAGTAGTACTTAGGAGATAGCTTACTCCTTCCTCCCCATGAGATCAACTCTACAAAATAGGCCCAGTATTTTGAATTTGTAGTAAGGTTCTGCTAGTTGTCATGCTGTAACTGTTCACTAGATGGCGGAAGTGTGTCATTGACCAGCATCCAATTTTAACATTAAGAGCATGTCCTCTTACTCTACTTCTTGTGGGTACTGACTCTCTGGGACCAAATTATAAATTTATTCTCCAGTCACCTTATAAACTTCCTACTTAGCTGTGGCTATGTCTTTCTGGCTTTATACAACTATAGACTGGTTGATAGATGAATTTCTTATATAGATGTCAGTCCCAAATCACTCTTAACATTCTATTTACATTGATGTTTTCTTCTGGATTATTTTACGAACTTGAAATAGAAAAACTATCTGAAATAGAAAAAACAAACATCTGAAACTGCTGGTATATTTGAGAATTAGGTTACACTCAATAAATATTTAATCCTATTTTGAAAACTTTTTTTAACAACTTATATTAGTAAAAATGTAATCATATTCTGAAAACTGTTTCAGATGGAGACTTCCAGAGGGGTCTCAAGTTTTCTTTATCATTGTTTATGGGGGAAAAAGACTTATATGATTAATTTACAATAACCTGTTGACAGTTTCACTAAATATGTATGTTTCTTTAATGTAGGAGCTGAAGTTGCTTTGGTTGGTGGCTTGAAACTTCTAGCTAGACTGTCACTTCTTACAGAACAAGACCTGTGGACTGTTAACGGACTTCCAAATGAAAATAATTCTTCAGATCATCTGCCTTTATTGGCTAAATTCAGACTTGAGCTCTGACTCTTCTTTGATTACATATATACTATTCTTTCCAATTTATATTCTTTTTCAAAGACTGTAAAAGTGTTCTTAGGAGTTTGCATGTTTATTTTTGCGCTGTGGAGTTTCTGAAGAGGTTATGTTAAATGCTTGGGACAGATAGCAGAAGAAACAAGTTTACAACGATTTTCTTTTTTCATAATGAAAGAATATTTTCAGCTAAATGCTGTTTGTTGTAAAAGAATTGTAAATATTTTTTATTCTAAATTTTAGTAAAATAGACAGTTATTTTAAAATATAATGCATCTTCTTTAGCCCTCTTAGTAAAATATTTCATTTCATGTTTTTGGCAAGTTTTACGGTGGATCCCAAGTATCTTTGAGTTCTTACAAACCACAACTCATTTCACTCCCAGAAGACCTGATTTCATTATGAGGACCACAAGTTTGTTGAGTCCTAATTAGTTCATCTCAGAAATCACTGGGTCATTCAAAAGTATCCAACCATTTTAGTTTATTTTTCAGGGGGCTTGATAATGCTTTTTAAAATTGTACAGATTGTTTAATTCATCTTGTTACTATCCTGGGACATGTAATATATCTGCATTTTGCTGGGGACATGTAGGTCCCGTAACTGGTGGGCTGAGATACTTTAAACAGTCCACTCTTCCGTCCTGTAACAGCCGACCACTGTAGGAGGCACAGATCCGGGTTATGCCTTCATTTCCCCAGCAGTTATTTTTCTTTTTTCTATTCAGTTTCAAGAAGATTCCTGGGTTAGGGAGAGATTTTATTTTGGTTAACCAATGCTATAGAAATGTATTTTATTAGGAAACTTGTCTTTGGAACTAAGTGGCAGCTATCTGATTATTTTTGTTTTGCCTCAGACATTCGGAGAAGCCAGCAAAAATCTAGCGGGGAGATACCAACTTGGAGACCTAATATTCTTTAGTAATTTTAACTATTTTAGTGGTATTGTTTCTAAAGTGTGTTTTCTTTTATCATGATGCAGCAGTAGAGATAGTGCTGACATTTTTGAGGAAGTGGTTAAGAGCAGGTCTAATAATTAATCCTGCAGTTGGCTCTGGGTGAGTGTTTAAATCAAAATTTTTAAACCAGAAAAAGTGAAAATTTTCTTTTTAGACATTGTGATCAAAGAATTATGTGCATTTTTAACTAAGTAATCTTATATTGAATTATACTGAATTATAAAAGTTTTTACAGTGGGTTTTCTTAATAGAATGCTTCATTTTAAATTAGAAAGCAGTAGTTGCTTTATAGTCTTGGACTTTAAAACTTTTTCTACTTAAGTACTTACTGCCATTATTTTTAAAAAATAAAATTGATGAATACCCCCAAAAAGGCATGTGGGTTATAAGGATTTGCCTAGTAAAAATTGTAATAAGAAAATACTTTTAAATGTTTAATTTCTCACTTGGGTTTTTTTTTATTTATGGCATTAACTATAGTTCTAGGATTTTCCACATTTTTTAGTCACAGTTTTCAGAATATTATGATCTGTTCTAATTAGCAGATATTATTATCATCAAATAATAACATAGTATAATTATCCCCTTCTAGTATTGAGGAAAGAAAAATGAAAATTGATTACTGCTTTCTGTAGTGTGAATTTATTAACAGATAACTTTATATATAAGTCATTAATGACAAACTAATATCCCTGAAAACCTCTGTGGAAATTTAATTTTTTATATCCTGATTAATATATTGTCATTTTAGGCCCTTTTCATGTACTTCACTTTAACAAAGTTAATCTAGAAAATTGCTTTCTATTTTATCTTATAGAATGAAGTATTAGTTTGTGGGCTGGAGGCCAAACGGTCAGTATAACTTTTTCACAAGTTTTTAAAGCTCCACTAAAATTAATTATCCACTTGTCTTTATTTTATTTATTTTTTTGGTCAGAAGAGTTGGTAGCTCTGTTGGAGCCTAGTGTTTACCTGCCAAAAGCAATTAAATCTGTCTAATTGCTGAAACCAAGTCTCCCACAACCTCAAGTGCTATACTATCCAAGTTTTAAATGGAAAGGGATATTGTGGAATAATGAAATTTGGTTTAACTATTCCTTTTGATATAAAGATAATATGCATGTCTGAAATCTTGTCCTTTTTTTAAGCGACTGTCTCCATTTAACCCTTTGCATTCCTAAAAAACTAAGTTAGAATCCAGAGAGTTTAAGGGATTGGGGAAGCAGACGTCAAGTTATTTGCACTTTGTACCTGTAAATTACCTAATAAATTATACTAGCACGTCTGTGCCTGGGGGTTTCTGGTAGGTGTACTGAACTGTGTAAGCTGGCTTGTTGCCTCTTCTAAACTATTTCATTACCCTTTCAGCCTTTATTACTTAGGCTGATACTAAAATATAAGTAAATTAAGAAGTGCCAAAACAGAGTGATGTTTAATGTAGAGTCTGAATATTGTGGAAGACAGGGCTGAGAGAATGAGAAATTAGTTTACTATATAGTAAGTGGACAAGAAAAAAAGACCCCATCATCTTACAATTTTAGAAGAAAAACAATCCTTAAGTTTCCAGGATGGTTTTATTAAAGTCCCATGCTGTATAAACATACAAGTGATGAGAAAAAACATGAAACATGCACTATCTGGCATTCTCTAAAATACCATCATACAAGTTGTTGTTTACTTAGAAAAATACCCACTAAAACAATCACAGTTTTTCTTAAAGATTTAAAAAAAATGTATTGGCCAGAACAAAGTCCAAGAGAATAAACAAGATTCTGAATTGTATGTCAAAAAAACTGTACAAGGTCGTACATAAAACTAGGTTACAAAAGCCTTGGGTATAGTAAGAAGACTGAATTAAGGTTCCAAAGTTCTACTTACCAATATCTATTAATAAAATCCTTATGAAATAATTGACTTAGAAAAAGTGAAATGCTCATGATTTCAGAGTATATAGAAAATACTAAATATCACTTTCTGAAATAAAGTGTACTCAAAACAGCACAACATGTAGTCTAAAATCAAGATTTCTGTCATTCATTTAAACTTTGCATATATTGCCATAATGGCTTAAGCATAATTCTCTTGCATTAAAAACTTTTTAAAAACTAGATTTCAAATCATTTCATAGTTTCATTTTTGATCATTTAAATTGTAGCCAGTTTTAAAATCAATTGGGGGTGGGGTCGATCATATGGTTTTTTGTTTTGCCTTACTATTTAAATTACAGCACTAGAATTTGGAAATTCAGTTCTTCTCACATATTTTAGAAATTAACATTTCATAGGCATTAAAAATAGAATGACAACTAAGAACATCTTCAATGAATTTTCATGTTTCTGTGACTAACTCTTGCTTTGGGGAAATTAATCTTAAAATCAAGAAGTTAGTGTGGAAGAAATTAAGTTACTTAATTGAATCATCAAGCCAGTTGGTAGTTTTAAGGCTTATACATCAGCATATTAGAAACAGTTTGTATTCCTATTCTTTTCCCCTTTTTTGTAGGAAACAAAAGGCTGTGCAGCTATTGATTTTCTGTATTTTAATCGGGATAGTACTTAGGTAATGCTTGGGAAATCCTATTCCAAGCTCTTAGAGTGATTGCAATGATACAAATAGTCTTCTTATTGTATATAATGAGGTGTCAGATTGATAGACTATATATATTAATATATATCTGATATCTCATAGATGGTCAGTACTGTTTTCAGAATGAGAATGAAATGATTAATTGACTAATACATGTGGCCATGGGCTGCAAATGGGTTTGCCTGGTGAAGATGACAAAGATAACTCATTTTAAACTCTGCTGGCTGACAGTACCATTCTTGAAGTGATTAAGTTCAGAATTGTTAACTCATGCTACATTTTACTTTAATTGAAATGTATACCTACTTGCTCCTGTTTATGTAAAGGACATTAGACTTCCTTCTTTTTCAAGAAAACACTGATTTTTAGGGTAAAGAGAGTTCATGTGCATATGGCTGAAGGATGAAGTCCTTTCGCTGTCCATGTCACCCTCAGAGGTAAAGAATCTGAACGAGCAGATTCTCCTTTGTCTTGTCCCTTCCTAAAATCACCTCCAAAGAAACAGGAGACGCACCAAGACTGCAGGAACACTTCTGACTAGCGGGCTTCACTTAGATATGCCTTTTGGTCCCATGAGTTGGCATGGTTACTAAGATAAAACAGATTAAATAGAAGCTGTACTCTTGCTATTGATAACATACAGTCTGAGGATGCTGTTGGAGTTATTCTGTGTGGTCTGCAGCCGGAAGTCACTCTAACATCCATGTGCAGGCCAGAGGGTCATACATACTGTGCTTCATGGACCAAGTCATGCTATAAGGTGTAACACTGGACCTGAAGACTTTTCTATTTATAAAAAGGTTCCATGCTTCTCCAATTCATTGCATTTTCCCAATACCAATTCCTAAATGGCATGAAGCCATACTGAAAAGCAAGGTACTGGAAAAGAATCACATCGCACCCCATTTGGTCTTAATATAAGACATCGAACACGTCTCTAACAACAGTGAGTCCTTCAGAATCATGGCCTAGCTCAGAGTTTAAAAATCAGGTGAAATGTAAACAGAAAGATGATCTGTTTCTCAAAACCTACTGTATCACTCTTGGCCTCGCTGCCTTGCTGAGTTTTGTTGTTATCAGAGGTAATCACCATACTGTTCGGTTTTCCTGATCTTGCATGGCCACTTCTGCTTTTTGTAGCGTCTGCAAAGTTTAAATGTTAGTGACAGAACATAGACTAGCTTCTAAACGTGCTGTTTTTGTTTTGTTTTGAAAGAACAAAAGCTGCTGTCAGTGAATGCTTTTAAGAAAGAAGTAACTCCGAGATCCTAAAAATGGTTTCCCGTATTGCCAGAATTTCAGTGCTTTTTAGCAAAACACCTGCATATAATACCTTAAATTTCTTCACATGTGTGCACCAGGAAAGTCCCAAACTGTGTGGCGGTCCCCATGGGAAATATTGGGGAAACAATACAAATAGAATATAAAAAAACAAAACACTATTAAGTTTGCATATCTGATGTCAAGATGCTGAGGTAATTATTGACAGCTTAAAAAAAACCCACCAATCTTTGCCTGTTATTGCTGCAAAAATCATTAATACTGATTGAGTTACTTTACCATATCAAAAACGGGAGGGAGGAATTCACGAACATTTACTTGGTGAGGGATAATGTTGGAAGCAAGAAAAGAATGTAGGTAAATGGGAAAATACAGAACTAGTGATGGGGTCATTCTTTCCATCTGGAGTGGGGGAGGTAGTCCAACCCCAGTGGGGTTTGTGACTCAAGCCTTTTCATGGTTGCCCCTTGGTGAATTTTTTTTACGTTGTTACCACCCACTCAAATTCTATCTCCGAGTGAATCCTTAAAAATAAAATCCACAAGTTCTTAATAAATAGTCGCAGTTCCTCCTGAAGACGCTGGGTAAAGTGCAGAGGGAAGCACCACAGAAGCCTCTGGCTGGCTGATATGGCTTGCCTAAATTCGGATTTGATAGCCCACTTCATTCAGAGTGCTGAGGTCAGCCACCTTCTTCTCGGGCAGAGCGGGCCTAGGGCGAAAGGCGGGCAGCGGGAGGGGCGGAGAAAACGGTCAGTAGTTTCAGGAGCTGCCTCTCCTCGGTGTCCCTCACCCTGTGATCTTGGCCCTGCCCCCTCCCACCAGCCCCAGCTCCCAGCTCTACCTCTTGTTCTCGTCCACCTCCTCATAGGCTTTAAGGAACATTTTAACAGGCTTTAAATCCAGAGTTCAAAGAGATGTACAGTTGCTAAGTTAGTTGGTTCAACTTGAAGCCAGAATTTGGTCACACTCTAACGTGTGAACCTTGCAAGGGTCTAAAAAGTCGCATATACTACAGTAGAACTAAACATCTGAGCCAAGGTCTCCTTGAAACTGGCTTCCTAGTGTCTGTGCCTGGGGGAAGCCAGCAGCTGTAAGAGGGCTCGGGTGACTGAGTCTCAGGGGAAATCCTTCGCTATCTTTGAGAGAGAAGGTTACCACTCCTGACTCGAGTGTATATAATCAGGGCGAACCTTGGAGAAGACATCTGGAAAGCACGGCACTGTGCAAAGTCATTCAGTGACAAACATCTCTTCCCTGCATACATTTCCTAAGGTACTTGCCAATAGCCAGCGACACCTAAGTATTTATGTGCCTGCCTTCCACCGTGTGCCCACTTTCAGAAAATTCCGTAATCAAAAATGCACTTCTTCAGAGATTAAGCTTGAAGTACTCGTAGGTAGCCTTTGCTTTCCTAGAGCAATTAAAATGTGATTTCCACACTACCTCTCCTAATATTGTGACTATGGAAGCATATATTTCCTACCCCAGTGTAAATACATTTGTTTTTAGTTGATGGTGGTTTTTTGTTGTTGTTGTTTAGTTTTTTAATTTTATAAACTTCACCTGAGGATATTTTTTTCCATTGATTTTGAGAGAGAGTAGGAAGGAGGGAGGGGAAGAGAGAAACATCGATGTGAAAGAGACACATTGGTCGGTTGCCTCCTGCGCTCACCCCGACCAGGGCTGGGGACTGAACCTGCAACCCAGGTATGTGCCCTTGACCGGGAGTCAATCCCACCACCCTTCGGTGTAAGGGCCAATGCTCCAACTGCTGAGCCAAATCGGTCAGGGCAAGCTGATGGTTATAATGCTGTGTGTGTCTCAGACCCTGTTAGTTGCCCCTCAACATCCACTCTCCCATTCTTCCTCAGTCAAGACACCCCTGACTTCTAGCTGGCACAGGGCTGCCTAGAATACCAACCAGCCTCCCTGAAGCTGGGCATGTCCTTGGACTAAGCTGTAACCAATGAGGTTGAAGTAGAAGTTGGTGTGGATGGCAGTTACCAGGGCACCTGTTCCAAAAACAGCTGGCATGTGCCCATCTTTTTCTTTCCCCGTCTCATCTTTCTCCAGGAAGTGACAGCTGGGGCTGGGCCCTCCAGGTGGCACACTAACCACCCCCCACCTCTATTGGGCTTCTTTCACTTACGGTGAATCATGGTTAAGCCACAGCTTCAACCTAACCTTCCCCACGGCCTAGCCCAATCCTAGCTGGTACCATCTCCCTCCATTAACTCACCAGTGCAACGCTAATTCAGACACGATGCTAGGAACGGTGGGTGTTGAGTAGGTCTAAAGAAGGTTAGTATGTGGAGTAAGGAGATGTGTCTAGCAAGTTCTCTATAATTCCACTCAGGACAAGCTGCCACGCCCTAAATGAAGTCCAGAGACTCACTTCTAAGAGTTCGTCTCTTCCCTGGAACCTAAGCCCTGGTGGCTCTTTAGATCCCTCATTGTCTCTGAAAATGAAGCAATTCCTTGTGCCCAGCAAGAGGATCCCTGTCGGGACCCTCGCAGCACCTACCAGCGAGCTCACCCAGTTTCTGAGCCTTCTGTGCACACGCTGTCTCCCCAGCCCAGGCTCTTCCTCCACCCCAAGTCGCACCTCTCCTGAAAGTCCAAGTGTGCAGCGTTCACAGGAAAACTGCTAGTCAGACGTACTCTTGTTTTTCAGGTGTGAAAATAAATCTGCACTCACCTATTTTCTCCCCCTCGGTCCCATGATCAGCAGCACCTGCTGCTGCAGTCGGTGGCGGGACCAGCCCCAGCGCAGGTCAAGGAGACAGCAAAGCCTCCCCGCTCAGCCCTATGCCATGGGCTTCCCCAGGGTCATGGCAGCCACCGATCACAGGCATGTGTCTTCCTCAGAAGCCTCCCTTGGAGCCCCTCAGTCTCGACGAACAGAATTTTCACCACATTTTTCATAGTTTGTGTGTTCCTAACACTCCACCCTTTACCTTGACTCGTTCTGCTCTCGGTACCCTTAAATACAAAAGCACTTTAATTTGGGCTCCCCGCTTCCTTTTTCGAACCCTTTCCAGAACTCTTCCACCGGTTCCCCTATACCTCCAGGTGCCGAGCAATCACCATTATACAATAGTTTTGTTTATGAGGCCTCACTGGGTCTGGGCATTGTTCTAGGAGGGGTCTGTGGATTGATTAATTCTCACCATAACTTATGGGGTTGATACTGTTACTATCCACGTAACAGAAGAGAAAACAGGCACGGAACACCAGGGAACTTGCTCAGAGCAGTCACATGGCCAGCAAGTGGCAGAGCCGGTCTGTCCCCAGAACTCAGAGCCCATGTCCTTAACCAGAAGCAAACTGCCCCGCCCTCCCACACCACACACAAAGCAGCCTCCCACGCACCCCGGCCTCCGCACCTTGGCCATGGAATGCCCTCCTGCGTGTCTTCCTGTCACCCCTTCATGGTCCAACCCAAACGCCCCTTCTCCCAGGAAGAACTTTCTGACTTCCTACAGCATTTCCTTCGTCCATCAGTTCAAGAATCCTGCAGGTTCAAAAACCATGTGCCTTTCTTGGCGACCGTCACCAGCCCGAGAGCAGGCTCAAGTAAATTCATCTGTGAACCCCCATGGTCGAATATCCTGAATCTCTCAATGAACTCCAGTCGAGTTCTCACTCGAGTGCAAATGGCTGATAGGGCTTCGTTAGGTTACCTCTATCAGGGGATATTTTCGTTTTAACCAAGTCCTAAGCCAGGAATTCAAGTCACCATGACAACAGTCTAAGAATGAACAAGTAGGGAGAACACTGTTTTTTCCGTATAGGGAGGCTTGACCGTACCTTGGAAAGCCACGTGGGAACCTGCTCGGAGAGCTCAGCGTGGCTCTGCAGTGACAGGAAGTTCGAGTTCTTCCGAAGGAAAGTGACTAGGTTGTCTCTCTCCTCTGTGTCCCCACCCTGCGCACTCCCCATAGGTGCCCAGAAACTAGGGGAGGAGGAAAGGCTAATCCTGGCAGGAAGTAGGTTAGACCGAGATCCTCGGCGAACCGTCTGGAAGATGAAACCCTTTGCTCACACAGCCACGCTGGCTCCGTCCTGGCCCGGTGAAGGCGGCAGTGGGTTATCACAGTGCCACCTGCCTGCGGGCCCAGCCAGGAGCACCCGGGCCGAGGGGGAGCTGTGGTGCGAGGAGAGGCCTCTTCCAAGGGCTCCCCCGGCTATAATTAGAACTCTGCAAGGCGATTTATTTTTAAGAAACACAAGTACCAACGCGATGACTCAGCTGGGTCTGCACTTGCCCAGATCCTCTCATCACATCCAGGGCTATTATTTCAGACTGAAGGATGGATTTCTCCAAACCCTGCCCCAGTCCAAACAAGGAAAAGCACTCAGAAGATGCTCCTCCGAAAGCCTTTCGGGCGCCTTTGTTTTACAGGAAGAGGGGTGGGGGTTTCAGTTTGCTTTGCACACTCTGTGGAAGGAGGTGGGGGGCACACAGTGGGTAGTCCCTGCTGCGCCTGTCAGCTCAGTGTATCCAGGGAGAACTAGGGTGACTGCTCGGCGGCCTGGTCCCAAGTCTACACTGAACCCCAACCTCAGCTACTGCTGCCAAAACCTGACAGTTCGCAAGAGCGGACCTCGAGGACCGTGGATGTGGGGGAGGACCGTGGACGTGTGGGGACCGTGGACATGGGGGACCGTGGACGTGTGGGGACCGTGGACGTGGGGGGACCGTGGACGTGGGGGACCGTGGACGTGTGGCTCAGCAAGTCTCTCACGCCCGAGGCAGCCTCAGTGTGGAGCAAGAGCTTCGGCTGGGATGTTACAGTCAGGGAGGTCTCAGGAAGCCTCAGAACCAGAAAGTGAGGGCAGCATGTTGGGGACCCCACTGGGGGTGACATCATCCTGGGGCTGAACATACAAGTTGGTGCCTGTCTGTGTTTAAGAAAAGAAGAAGGGGAAGGAAAGCCTCTAGGGTCCCCCCGAAAGCACTGTTCCTTTCCAGCACCTCTGCCACCACTCTGCTGGGTTGTCAGGAGGGGCCCGAGCACCGGAGGGGCAGCAGAGCTCCTGGGACCTGCCTGCTACTTACTCACTCGCAAGAATTTATTTAGCAACACTTTGTGCCAAGAACCTTCTGGGTCTTGGGGTTACCAAGACAAACAGCACTTCCTGCTGTCAGTGGAGTTGACATCCGCTCTCTTTCTTCTGATGCAAATTTACCTGTTGCTTCTCCCTTTCAAGTGTGAGACACTTCAGGGCCATGGGCCATGTGTGTCCACTCAGGGCTGCCAGAGCGGATGCACAGGCCACCAGTCAGTCCATCTGTACTTCTTGCTCCGTCCCCCCTGAGGTCACACCCCTTAGGGTGGGGTGCACACACCCCTGTGCTCACATGCACTCGCCCTCACACATTCTATTCTTTGCAGACTCAGGATTCCAAAGGGATACATGGTGAAGGTGTGGCTCTAACAGCAACCTCAGTCCCTTGAGGGTGTGGAACAGATCCAATCAGGGTGGTGCTGGCCCAGCATCTACAAGCTTCACTGGAGACCCCAGGCCCTCCTCTCGCCCAGTCTGGCAGGAATCAGCTCAGGTCAGGCCCCGATTTAGGACTGTGGCCTATTTGGGACGGCGGCCTGGCTCCTTCACACCTGACCCCTCGTTCAAGGCCTTGCTCCCCAGGACTGCAGACACCGCTGCTGGCAGCTGGCAGGGCAGACAGCTGAAGCTGCCATG